GGCATTCATAATTTTCGTGGTTTTCAGGCTTAGTCGCGTACACGGGGTGTACACAAAGAGTACGCGGGGAATACTAGTGAAGAAGGCAGTACGCGGGGCGTACCTTGGCGTACGTTGGGCGTACTAACCAGGATGGTCGTGAATGTTCTTCAAAGTACGTTGGGCGTACGTCAGTCAGATCAAAACCCTATTTTAGGGTCTTGCCTATTTAAGCTCTTTATCTCATAACCTAACCCAAATATCTTCATCCTCCATCCATCTAAACCCTATAAATTGTCCTTAACCATTCATTGTGGCATTTTGAGCTTATGGAGTCCATTTTTGGAGTGTTTGGCCCATTTTCAAGAAGGTGGAGTTTGATGCAAACATGGAGATCAAGAAGAAGCTTAAGGATCTGGATTTTGTGACTCATTGTCAGCTTGATGAAGGTATAAAGCTCTGAACTTGACCATTGAATGCTTAGATCTATTATGATGAGTTTTTGGATCTTTTGGTCCCAAGAATGGAGCTTTATGGTTCCAAATCAGTTTTTAGACTTAGGGTTGCCACCCTTGGTGCTAACTAAGTCCCTAAGGCAGAAAGTTGCCATCTTACAGGCCTTAATGGGTTCATACAAGAATTATGGTCAGCTTCATGGAAGTAAATTGCTATACTTTGAGTTTGGGTTCATGTGGGTCATATAAGTCACCAAGTCAATGACTTTATAAATTAAGATGTTAAGTAGAGCTCAGATCAGTAATTTGATCCCTTGGTTTGAAGCATTAAGTGTTTAATAGAAAAAAGGACTTAACAGGGGAGTACGTTGGGCGTACAAGCTGGTACGCGCAGCGTACAAGTCACGAACCTAGTATGCGTTGCAAACTCAGTATGAATGGGTTTCGTTTATTGGGCCTCGATTTAGGCCAATTCTTGGACTAGGTTGTTGTGGGCCTTCGTGGGCCAACTGGAAACAAGATTATAGACTAGAGAAGTAGTATTGGACCTTAGGTTGAGGCCCATGTGAAGGGATTGGGCCCAATTGAAAATTGGGCCATATATTGGGCCTTATAGGAATATTTATCTTTAGTAGGCCCAATGGGCTTGATCCTTGGGCCATTGGAGGATTATAGTTGGATCATTGGAATGTTAAGTGTGTTGGACTGAAAAGAATGAGTGGGCCTCATGGCAAGACCCATGTATAGGTGTGGGTCCAATTTGGAAAATTGGGCCATTGATGGATTTATGAACATTATGGTGTTGGGCTTGTGTTTTGGGTTTGGGCCTTAGTTTTGAATTATACTGGCCAGGGGTAAAATGGTTATTTTACCCCATGTATGGATTAAGGATTATGGTATGACACCCAACTGGGTAGATTGATTAGTATTGACAGCTCGGGAAGTGGACAAGGCAGCAGCTAAGGATTTCACTCGGGAAGCGTCTGCATTCGAGGTGAGTCTCCTCACCATACCAATGGGTTGAAGGCACCAAGGCCGGCTCATTACCTAGTTGTAATGATTATTGCGGATTTGTTATCGATACATTATGTAATTATGTGAATGACATGCGGGGGTTCCCATGGCAATTAAGTTATATGTAGTATGCCAATTGTTTTTGTGACTCTTGCCTGTAGTGGATATTTGTGAATGTGTTGTTAATATGTCATGTATTTATGCAAAGACAATGTGGGGGTTCCCATGGCCTATTTCATGCTATTTGGATTGATAATTAGATATATGACATGTCGCTATGATACCTATATGGAAGTCCCCGGGAGTTCCCGTGGCAGTATATTAAGACCATTAGGAGGTTCCTATGGCAATCGGTATAAGTCCTTGGAAGGTTTCCATGGCTTCTCAGCATGTTTGTTTGTTTAGCTTGTATAATATTCCCATGATTAATGTAGACCGTGTGGAGGTTCCCGCGGCAATTAGCCAAGACCACGTGGGGGTTCCAGTGGTGGCTAGTAAAGACCACGTGGGGGTTTCCCGTGGCACTTGGTTTAAGACCCTGGAAGGTTTCCACGACATCCATATATGTTTATATGCATGCTTGTATGGTTTATATAGCTTTCATAGCTAATATGGGTTATATGATTATGTGATTTGTGTGGGGTATGTTTTGGGGAACTCACAAAGCTTCGTGCTTACAGTTTTGTTTATTGTTTCAGATATCATCGATTTGGAAGAGAAGGGCTCGAATTGATCGCAGTGCACACACCTATGATTTCAGCAATAAATGATTTTGGGATGAACTCTGATAAATTTTTAATTAACGATATTTTTGATTGTTTGAAATAAATGGTATCAATGTTTTGGTTATAATAAAAATGAAATTTTTACCATTGATTTTTGGGTTGTTACACATATATTTAATAATATTTTAAAAATTATACATATATGATAAATATCTTTTCAAAAACATCATTTTAATCAAAAATTAAATTCATATACATACGGAGATAATCCTTGAACTATTATATTTGTGTTTCTCATATTTATTCTATTTAATATTATAAAAAAACAAACCCAAACAAAACTTAATTACATAATGTGCTCCAAAAAAACGATATACATTTATGGTCTCTACTCTCTTAAATGTCCTTATGCTACACCTTATCTCATGAATAGTATTAAATCCATCTATATTTATAAATTATTCACACTTGATATTAGTATGAAACATGTGAAAATCTTACTAATATTAAACATGTGAAAGTCATTACAACAATCAAACATGTGAATCAAGGGGCAATTTTTTGATTTTATAAGATAAACATACAATTATATATATATATATATATATATATATATATATATATATATATATATATATATATATATCGATTAGCTTATATCGAGATGTAGATTAACGCACAAATGACAAGAAAATGTCATTGACTTAAGTGATTCTAATAAATTTTTATCTTGTCATATCGTTCAAAATAGTTATTATGTTATATAGTACATAGATACAATCTTTCTCTTTCATGGAGTGCTTAGCTTTCTCTTTCATGGAGTGCTTAGCTGAACTCATAGAATTTTTTTTTAGAATTAATGAAACAGTTCAATTTTTGTATGAATAATTTTCTGGTTTTAACATATTTATATAGTACATAGATACAATCTTAACATAAAATAATAAATAATGAAGGTAGGTGGAATTAGGTTTCGAAATATTATTCCATTTTCTAACCCAGAGAAAAATTGATGCAAAATAAGAACCTTTAACGTAAGAGATCGAAATAGGAGTATTACCTATGTGGGGGAATCGTATTTACTATCTTGAGCATTGAATTCCAATCCATGATACCACTTGTTGGAAGTTATTGTAACTTAAACATTCACTACCCAAGTGAACAACCAACAATGAATGGAATAGTAAAAAAAATAAATGAATCGTGTTATTTCAAAAGCTCAAAACACAAAATAGGCTCAACCAAATGTAGAATTCAAGAGGTTTCACAATCGATGTGATGGTGCATGTCTGTCGACAAAACAAGGCATAATTTTATTACTTGGAGAACAAGAAACCCTAATTGCACACTTGTTATCGAACCGAGATATATCAATAAAAGTAGCATCCTAACTAATCATAAAAAAAAATATACATGAATTCTTTTAGATCATCTGCAACGATGAGTTCAATAAGAGAGTTGATAGAATGTGTCAAATCTAGTTGTCATTCAATGAGTGAAAATCTATATTATGAGATGTCACCATGACATTCAATGGATTTCGAGTTCAATGGTTATTAAACTCTTCAATGGAAAAAATGAAAGTTTTCTAGTTCTTAAATAAATACTATAAATAAGCTTTTGTAATACTCTATAGAACTCTGTAAAGTTTAATACATTATAGAAAAAAGTTGATAGTTGTATAGAATATAGAACAATGATATGACAATTTACTGAACTCTATAGAGTTTAGTGCATTATGGATGTCCAAAATTTGATATAGATCAAAAACATTAAAGTATCACCTATATTATAAGCAAAAGTAAACGAAAGAAAACTCTAATGGTGTTCGTAGTTATGGATAATTCCATATATGAAGTTTCATTATACTTGATAATACCGAAAAAATGAGGCTTTAATGTTGGAGTTGAATATCTGTATATATTTGTTTGCGTTCATGAAACACAATTTCGAAAGTGATTTGATAACAAAAGCTAATACTTATTTTTAAAGTGTTTTTGGAATCATAATTGTGCATACATACTAAGATGGGTGACTTGAGTGGTTAAAATCCTTGGGGATCCATTTTGCATGTCGAGTTGTTGTGAGTAGATTTCTAGATAATCCCCATGTGCACAAGTAGAGGATAACTACCCCTTGTATAGGAACGAATTACCATCATAGTATTTGGTTGAGCCATTGGAACTAGGGTGGTGGCTCCCTAACCTAAATGACAAATTACCACCAGAGTGTCTAGTTGAGCCATTAAAGAAAAACCTAAAGGACAGATTACCACCATAGTGTCTAGTTGAGCCATTAAATAAAATAACTATTGAGATTGACATGGGTATCGGCTAGTTGCATACAATGCATCTTATTATATAATCTAGCCTGGTTTACCTTTTATTGTAAAATGCATGACATATGCGTACTTTTTGAAAATATTATTGTTGATTTCAATCTTTTAGGCATGCAAGAACCTTGACTTGATTTAAGTTATTGAACCCCATGAGTTTTACGTGGTAAGATTTATTTATGTTATTATTTTGGGGGTTTAATTTGAGTATGATAGATCGTTATCCTCTATTCTAAATGAATCAACATCAGCTAACTCACTAGGAAAATCAATTTCCTAACGTATTTTGATGTGTGCTTAGACTAAAGACCCTAGCTTGGGTTAAGGATAAACTTGGATTTTAAAAAGGCCACAAAATGTGTGGTGAGCTTGAACCATCTTGTGATATTTTATTGTTGACAACTTTGTCATTTAAAGTTTACTAATGTGTTTTTGAGATATTGGGACCATATTTTCCTCAACAAATTTAAAATTAAACTCTTAAATCAAAAAGGGGTTTTATTCTCTGTGTTTTCAAACAATCCCTAACGACGGGTGCTACACTTTCCTTCTCCTATATATCGACATTACAAGAAATTTAAACACCAAACTAGGAAATAAACCAAAATTTGTTCATATACACCAAAAAATATTACATGTTATTTAAATTGCAAAAATCTAGCCAAGTATCGTCAACTTGGTAACGATTATAAGTGCATGGGTATGATAACCAATAATTATCATATTACAACATCGCCAAAGGCAAAAGCTAATTAATGTGAAGAAGAGAAAGAGTTTTTTACCTTCAAGTTTAGAATTATGCCACTCATGTTCTTTCCTTTCAAAAAATCGGCATACCAATAAGCAGAGAGCTTAGGATACCGAGTCAACTCTTTGTCATCCAGATCAACATAATATAGACCAAAACCAGAATTATAGCCATCCAACAGCTCAAAGAGATCAAAGAAGGACCAGACAAAATATCCCATCATGTTTGATCCATTCCTGTTAGCATGTCATGGACAAAAATAACCATATATTAAACTCTAAAAAGGTGGACCATTCTACCTTTCTCTTCATGGAGCCGAGTAGAGGCATACCTTATTGCATCCAATAAAGCACCAATATACGCATGCAAGTACTCTACCCTTGGGGTGTCCATCAAAGTTCCATTACGTGGTTGTTGTTGGCCTGCCAAAACATTATACGTCAATATCATACAGCCATATTTAGGATGTTGGTGGCACAAAGATAAACAATACTCCATCAAAGGAAACCTTGTCAGACATGAGGATGCATTTTTCGCCACACACACACACACACAAATTCATAGCAAAATAATAACATAAAAATAAGTAATTGGTTTGATGTATATACCATTTTCATGGATATAGATAGGAGGATTCCCATATTCTTCCTTTAAATAGTTAAGAAGCTTTTCGAGACCCATTGGATTCACCAGGAACTATATAAAAAGAAATTAAGTACTAATTAAGGAGGATAAATGAAAGAAAAAATATGAAAAGTGTAACAACAAACGATCAGATATTCGAACCTCAATTGGAAGGGATCCATTTCCACTATCTCCACCATCTGCAATCCAAAGTCAAAACATGAACGCATCATGTCGGTGTTAGTTTTATCTACCAAATGAGCAGTGACTACTTGTTTAAGTGTCGATTTTGTTGCTTCCAAGAGGAAATTAATTAAATATGTACAGGTATCATGCATGCTGATATACACCAAACGGAAGAAAAACATAAAAGTTAAATGAATTTTCGGCTTAAGAGAAGTAGATCCAGCTCTCTCTATGTGTGTGTGTGTGTGTATATATATATAGCATGAAGGGTATAGGTTGTTTACTTAGTGGACATACATACATATAAGGGTTGCTGCCATGTCTCCAAGAACATCCCTGGTATCCGTTTCAAGAGTACTTGGGTTGTCCTTGATGTATAACGTGCTGTAGTGATTTATGCCAATGAAGTCAAATGAGCCCTTGATTCTGTCTGATTCAAGTTTGGTAAAAGTTGGAATTCGGTTGCCTGCATTCTTCTTCACTATGTCTGGATAGTCCCCATTCACCAAGGGATTCAAAAACCTGAACACAAAAATCAAAGTGAAATTAGTCCGATTCCAAGACTAGGATTTTCTCATCACTCACCAACCCAAATAGAAGTCATGGGCTCTTTGTGTAGCTTTCACATCTTCTGTTGTGTTTGTGTAAGGTTCAAACCAATACGCAAAAACATTTAATCCAACAAAACCATGTTGTATAGCCTGCATCATCATCACCCATATTAGTGAATGTTTCTTTCTTTCTTTTTTTGGCAAAAGAAGATATATATGAATAGAGAGTTGTTCAACAAAGAAAGTTGATGTTAGGATCTTCCATCAAGCTCGTGAATGTTTCTTGAAGGCAAGGGTAAAAATCAGATGCATGTGTATGTTTTGAATTGCAAACCATGGAAAAATTAACCAGAATTTTAGTTACCTTGTACTTTTCCCGATACAATTTCACAGTTGATGCATGTGCCAGAAGCATATGGTGAGCTGCAAGATATGGCTCGGTAGTAGAATCACCTGTGCTGCAGTTAACGTATCCAAATGGGGAAGAACAATGTCCAGGAGGTAAGAAACCCACATCATATCCACCTAAAGCATATACATTGGCTTCATTAATGGTAGTCCAATGCGAAACCCTATCACCAAATTCTCTGAAGCAAACATCAGCATATGCCACAAAGTCTTTCCTGCATTTAATTACAAATGGTAAACCATGTTAAATTATATCCTACAAGGAGAACTAATTCCATGAACGTCATATTCATAGGATAGGGGGGTTATGGAACCACAGTTTTAGTTAGAAACAAACGTACACTGATTTTCTACTAATCCATCCTCCATATTCATCTTCAAGTATCTGAGGTAGATCATCATGATGTAATGTAACATGTGGCTGTATTCCTGCATAATCAGAATTGCCGAAAATTAATTAGAGATTACATTTTGTTGGGTGAATAACGACTTAATTATCAACTTTTTTACACATTGTTTGGTTAATTAGCTATTTTAACTTGTATTATGTGGTAGTAATATATATATATATATATATATATATATATATATATGTATTTAACCATGGGCAATAAGCCTGTTGATGAAATCGTTGTAGAATTGTAAGCCCTTTACATTGACAGATCCTGTTCCATCTACAAAAATTAAGACCATGAATAAGCAAGACTACAAGTGGAGTTAAAGTACTGATGTCTTATCATATTATAATATTAAGTAGACAACATACATACTTGGGATGAGTCTGGACCAAGAGATGGAAAATCTAAATGCTTCCAAACCTGTGTCTGCCATAAGTTCAATGTCTTCCTGCATCATTCAATGCAGTGACCGACTCTAGTAAACTATTAAATTAAGTTGCACTTAAACATGTTGTATTGAACTTTTCTAGGGTTAATTTGTACCTTGTATTTATGGTACCCATCACAGGCTATGTCTCCATTTGCACCGCTATAGAAACCTGAGATTTTGGAGCAAGAATCATATATATTCACAATTAGTCCTTCATAACCCCATATAAAGTGTACACTTTGAAATGGATTTCTGATCTTCAACTCCCTATTCCCTAACAACATCAACAATGCGATACCCAACCTAGATTTTGAGTTGTGGAGTTTGATGATTGCTAAATGGACATGATCGCCACTATATATAATCACTTTTGGGCTCGGACTTTTTGGTATTTTAGATAAAAGTCCGTATGGATTAAAGCTAGTACCAAGGCAATGGCACTTGAAGTTCAAGACATTTTATTTAGAGTAATAGGTACAAGAGATGTGAAATAGATCATCGTTATTGTGATAATTTTGTTAGTTACTGACTCAAAGTTGTCTACGTGTCCCTGTTTTAACTTGAAGACTTAATTAATATTCCTTGTTTTATGGTCATGACTTAGTCTGATCTCAATAACTACCCTTAGTGGGTGTATGCCTGTTTTCTAGGAACTGTTTTTGCTTTGTTATTTCTTTTAAGTAAGCTAGGATTTCCCTTTGTACGTATGCAGTTTATAATACAGAAAAGAGAGTTCCTCTCAAGTATACGTGTTCTTAAATTCTAACAAATTTCCCATGAATCGATATATAGGAGTGTACAGCGGTAAAACCCTAAATATCTATAGCTGCATGCCATCTCCTAAACTATCTTAATAAACCAAGTCCTCGTCATGGTGTATTCTTTTCAGCTACATCACAGTTACAGTCCAAGGCCTTTTATGATTTTGATTTCGGAAAAAATGTCAGCATTCAGTTACTAGATAGGGATCGGGATTTGGGAAACCGGTCTACCGAGTATGCCATGTAAACCGGTAACATGTTAAAGTTTGTTTCAATGGCTAAGGCTATAAATTTCTACAACTTCAAATCGTCTAATTTAAACTTTCAATACCAAATTGTAACAAACTCAATACTTCTATCGCAAAATTTATCAATAACTCTCGAATAAACTAGAGAGTTGATAAAAAATTATTAAAAAAAAAAAGTTGAATTAAATTTTTTTGTGTTTGGAACTAAGGTCCAAAGGAAGTATCAAATTCTGGTTTAAAGAATTTTGGTGCTTGAAAAACTGATCCATATCAGGTGCTGAGTTGTAAGAGGAGCTAACGACCTAACTTCAATCGAATCATTATCTTATTCTAGTTTGAAAATTCGCAATGAAAAATTACATCGAAACACCCAAAATTTTCAGTTTTGACACCGACCCCAAAATCCAACGGGTCATTTGAACGGAAAACGATGAATTATCCCGGCCACCGAAAGTTGTACTTGTATTACGTACCTGAGTGGGCGAAGGTGTCCCAAATGCTGAAACTTCTTCCATCTTCCAGCACTGCTCCTTCAACCTTATCAGTTACCTCCAAATCAACTTTCCAGACTTGAGACGAAGATATGAATTAACAGCAAATACCTGATAAGCAGAACTTCCGGAACCAAAAACGAACTCAGCGGGAAAATCCTCTCTTCCGTATTCATCAACCACACCATATACATCGTTATAGTTTCCGACCACCAAAAGAATAGAAACAACACGAAGATAGACATAATTCGACATGGTTTCTACCTTCGCAAGTGATGAATCGATAATCTTAGCTAACACTGCGGTCGAGATTTAGGAGGTGTTTGCAAAAATCCTGATTTTTCTAAAAAGTTTAATCTTTTCTTCTATCTTTTTCTAAAACATTTTTGGTTTTCTCAAAAACTAAACCAAACACCCCTTATTTTGGAGATACATGGTACCATGGTAGGAGATGAAAAAGAGAAAGAAAAAAAAAATGGGTCTCATATGAAAAATCAAAACACACACTCACCACTCACACAGGATCACCCACTGCACCAAACAATTAGGTATAATATCTTTTTGTCTAATTTTAAGTCAAAATCTTTTTCTCTTTCCTTTTTTGTCTAATTATAATTTATAAGCCAAAAAGAAGGCCCTACTAGTCCCTGTTTTGTTTTGGAACGAAAAGGACGGGAATGAAAGAGCCATAACATCTCTTTTTCCTATTTTGTCTAATTATAATCATTAATAAAAGCAATTCTTTATTTTCCTTGCCATTAAAGTTATATCATACAATAAAATCGTAAGCAAATAAAATAAAATGAAAATCATTTTTGCCAAATGAATTGATACATGTCGTTTTTAAGACTTTTTAATTTATATTGGTTTTTTTATTTGTTATTTTATGGTTTTTTCATTTTATTAAATTTCAATACAATATTTAAATGTAATAATTATAATAAATGCAATAATAAATACATATCAATTTAATTAATGCAATTTTTTTAATTTCTAAGTTTCTAAACTAAATCTATTTATTTTATTTGTTTGTTGATTTAAATTCTTTGCTTAAATTTAAAAAAAATAAAAAAAATTTAAATAACAAATTAAACATTATATTTTAATAATTCAATATTTTTCTTCTTTCTTTATAAATTCAAATTTCATAAGTTTGTAGGTCTTTATATTTTTTAAATAAACCCATGTAGTACACATGTCTGACAACTAGTAACGAATACACAACGTTACAAATTGTAATAAATTTTACAAAATTATTTAATTATGAAATGAAAGTATTGTTATTTTGTTAAAAAAAAAAAAAAAAAAGTATAAAGACTTATGTCTGGAGTGCTTTTTCGAAGTAGATAGATGGAAAATGTAAAGTTTATGTTTTGATCATGTAATCTTGAATTGGTTACTATAGTTTATTTTGTAACTAATAAAAAGCTTGTGCGTTGCATGGGTTCTTTTTTTTAGAACAAAATAAAGGATAGAAGAATATAGTAGACGAAAATGACAAAGAATAAATGAAAAGGGGTTGAATTTACCAACTTTTTAGAAAACATGTGGTGAAAGTCTGAATGTTAAAAAGTTTGGATTGATAATAGAAGGTGGAAAAAATACCAAAATAAAATAATGTTGAAAAATGGGAGGTTAAAAAGTAAATGGATTAAATAAACGTAGCACTTTAGGAAAAAAAAAAAAAAAGAGAGAGAGAAAAAGTTACAAACGGAATTGTTTTAGAAAAATAAAATAAAAAGGCTGAAGCATATGGTGGTAGATGGAAATGATAAAAAATATTTAAAAAAAAAATTGAATTTAACATTTTTTATAAAACATACGGCAAAAGTCTGAATGTTAAAAATTTATGAGCATTTTTGAGAAAATATAAAAAATTGAATTTAACATTTTTTATAAAGTTTGTGAGGAAGGTTACTTTTCAAACATTATAAATGGTCAAAGTTTGGTACAGTTAGTTTAAAGAATCATCAAACTTTAAACTTTAATGCTAAGAATGTAAAGAAGTAAAAGTAAAAGTTTTTGTGGCAAAAGTATTTAAGGATAAAAGGAAAGACGTAAAAATATGAATTGAAAAAGGTTCTTCTTGAAACAAAAATGTAAAGAAATAAAAGTAAAATGGAAAAAGTAAGAATTGCAAGAAAATTTTCTTATAAAACCGTCGAAGCGCTTTAATATATATATATATATATATATATATATATATATATATATATATAGGGTTAGGTTCATTTGAGACCACCTATATTTTGTGAAACCTTGAGATGCATTTTTTTATTTTTATTTATTTATTTATTTTTATTTTTTTTAGTCAATTCATGTTCCGAAAATAATATTTAAAAAAAGAATTTTTTGATTTTTCCATTTATTTTGCATTTTAAAATTATTTTTAGAATATGTACAGTGTAATATTCTATTTAGAATATTTCACGTATTTTTCAAAAAAAATAGAATTTTTTTTATTTTATTTTTATTTTTTTTAGTTAATTCAAGTTCCGAAAATAATATTTAAAAAAAGAATTTTTAGATTTTTCTATTTATTTTGCATTTTAAAATTATTTTTTAGAATATGTCAGTGTAATATTCTATTTAGAATATTTCACGTATTTTTCAAAAAAAATGGAATTTTTTTTATTTTTTTATATTTTTTTTAGTTAATTCAAGTTCCGAAAATAATATTTAAAAAAAGAATTTTTGGATTTTTCCATTTATTTTGCATTTTAAAATTATTTTAAGATTTTGTCTCACGGTCTTACAAAATTAGAATGGTCTCAAATGAACCTGAACCTATATATATATATATATATATATATATATATATATATATATATATATATATATATATATATATATATATATATATGGTTTGGTCAAAATTGTACGTTTGGTTCCTAACTTTTTTTTGCACTCGGATCGTCTCTATGATTTGATTTTGTTGCGTTTGCGTCCCTATGGTTTGATCAAAATTGCACGTTTGATCCCTAACTTTATGTATGTAAGGAACGAAAAACACAATAAAATATAATCACAGGGACGATATGAGTACAAAAAAAAAGTTAGGGACCAAACGTGCAATTTTTACTAAACCATAGGGACAATTTCAATAATTTACTTATATATATATATATATATATATATATATATATATATATATATATATATATACACAGGGATGAGAATTTGGCCCGAAAACCCGAACCGAACCGAACCGAATTAGACCCGAATAAGCAATTCGATTTGGTTTTCGGGTATCTATATAAGGCTTATTCGGTTTTCGGGTTATTCGGTCCGGGTTACCCGAATAAAGGCTTATTCGGTCCAAAAGGACCGAACCGAATATGAAAATTCACATTTTTTTCCCTTGCACGATTGCTTATTCGATCTTGTGTTCTATCGATCGTTACCCAAAATACCCACGTAATACACCAGAAAAAATCAACGAAATCGATATTCGATCATCCGGTAGCATATTACACCAAATCGACAGTAGCGTATTACACCAAATCGATGACATTACTCTTTGATCAATTAAGGTTTTTCTCATCCTTGCGAGTTGCATCTGCTGCCCTTGCGAGTTGCGATAACCTGGAATCTTTGATCAATCATCACTAGTTCAAAGTCCATTAACGATAAGAAAAAAAATTAGCCCTTGCGTTTGGAAAAAAAATCGTCTCCTCATCCTCGTTTTCTAGTTTCTATTGTGATCAAACTCCATTCAAGTCATGGAAAATTGGGTTCCAAATCAAGAAACTCAAGTAAGTATTGTATCTTAATCTACTACTCAATCTTTCAATGTGTTATTTGTAAATGTAATTTGGGTTATTTGGGTTATTCGGGTTATTTGGCTCCTTAATCATCTTGTACATGTTATTTGGGTTATTCGGGTCAGAACCGAACCGAACCGAACCGAACCCGTATTGCTTATTTGGTTTGGTTTTCGGTTCATACAATTACCCTTATTCGGTTTTCGGTTTTTTCGGGTTCGGGTCGGTTCGGTTCCGAACCGAATAGCATCCTTATATATATATATATATATATATATATATATATATATATATATATATATATATATATATAAAGAGAGAGAGAGAGAGAGAGAGAGATTTAGGTGCTTGTATTGACTCTATCTATTGTGTGAGCGTATAACCAAATCTTGTCCACTAATTTTAGATATTTGAATAAGGAGAGATGGTAATTTGATTTTTTGTATCAATTAATGATATTTAATAACCTATAATTAAGAAAAAAAACTAAATATAAATGACATATAATCAATTTAATTTATGTATGTTATATTCCATTTTGATCAACATAACCGGTGATCTCCGTTAATTTAACTTTTGTTTTAATATTCTTCTTTCATACAAGAAGTTTATATCAATTATTTGTTCTCTTAATTACAATCATATAATCTTTTTTGTTAATTGTTTTTATTCTTCTTTATCTCCCAATATAAACTAGCATAGAATTTTTTTGTCATTAACTTTTTTTTTGCACTCGGATCGTCTCTATGATTTGATTTTGTTGTGTTTGTGTCCCTATTGTTTGATCAAAATTGAACGTTTAGTCCCTAACTTTATGTATGTAATGGATGAAAAACACAATAAAATATAATCACAGGGACGATCTGAGTGCAAAAAAAAAAAAGTTAGGGACGAAACGTGCAATTTTTACCAAACCATAGGGACGATTTCAGTAATTTACTTATATATATATATATATATATATATATATATATATATATATATATATATATATATATATATAGAGAGAGAGAGAGAGAGAGAGAGAGAAAGAGAGAGTTAGGTGCTTGTATATCTATTGTGTGAACGTATAACCAAATCTTGTCCATTAATTTTAGATATCTGAATAAGGAGATATGGTAATTTGATTTTTTGTATCAATTAATGATATTTAATGACCTATAATTAAGAAAAAAACTAAATATAAATAACATATAATCAATTTACTTTATGTATGTTATATTCCATTTTGATCAACATAACTGGTGATCTCCGTTAATTTAACTTTTGTTTTAATATTCTTCTTTCATACAAGAAGTTTATATCAATTATTTGTTCTCTTAATTACAATCATATAATCTTTTTTGTTAATTGTTTTTATTCTTCTTTATCTCCCAACATAAACTAGCATAGAATTTTTTGTCATTAATTTATATATTTGAATTGATTTACGGAATCAGATTAGGTTTTTTTGTCTTATTCTTCAAAAATATTCATTTATTATTATCTTATTCTTCAAAAATGTTCTTTTATTATTTCAATAAAGTTGAATTATTCTTAAAAAATGTTTGACATGCACCTGCAATTGTTACTTTATTTTTCAAGGATTTTAAACTCTTCAAGAATTTCAATAGATAATTCAATTATGATATCTAATTAATTTCCTATTCTATAAGAATATATTACCATAATTTCATTCA